TGGTTTCATCACATTTGTAGCAACTTTCGCAGTTTAACGAGTTTCAAAGTAAATTTTTAAGCGCAGCTGGACCAATAAGAAAGGAATATGATGAGACTTTCCTCACTAACCTGTTGATTGGTGTCAGCAGGGGCCTGGACAGTGCTCTGACGTGACTCCCCGTGGTGTCCCTCGTTGCCAGGTGCTTCAGCTCGCCCCACTCCCTGCTCTTCACTACCTTCTGTGGACTCAGATTGGCCAGCGGTAATATCAGATTGTTCTCCAGTTCCCTCGCCTTCTCCAGAATCCTCTACGGCCTGGACGTTATCTTGAGACTGGAAATAAAAATGTTGAAAAAGATGACTGACCGGGTATCTCATTTGTGGCACACCTAACGATCTACAACAATTTGGAATTCAACTTCTTAAACTCATTAATAATTCATCACGTTTAAACAAAGGAAATCACGACCGTGACGGTGTTTGGATATCTCATCTTAATTAGCATAGATTTTTACGATTTTATTCCTCTGTATTCTCCTTAGCTTTAGTTTCGATTGAAAAGAAACTCAAACACTCAAGACAGTGTTTGACCACATTTCCAAACACCTCAAAGTTCGTGAAAAATACTGCGCTACGCGTCGTATTTTCAACTCCCTTCTCGGTGTTTGGAAATGTGGTCAAACACGGTCTTTCGTGTTTGATATATTACTTGACTTTCTCTTTGTGAAATGAAAACCTGGAATCGCTATTGAACGCACAAGAAGCATAATTAGCCTATCAAAACTTGACGACCTGTGACTGGTACTAAGCGCGGGAAGAATCACGTGATCCAAGGAAGATTGGTTTTGTTTTGGCACCCGATTGGTTAAAAGTATCTTTCTATGATTGGATGAGGCCTGCTTTGCACGAGGTCTTTTATCTTTTATGTAAATCTACTAGCGTTCTATCACGAATGTCGTTCTCTGATTGGTTACACCACTCACCATCTATTCTGTGATAGATAGTCAGTACTGTAGCAGTGTGCGCTTGTTAACAGAATGACGGCCGCTTCTTTGCGTTTTCGAGGTGTCTGTGAAGAGTTTTTAGATAAAGTTTAGAGCGACTAGTAGATTTATACCAAAACAATTAGATTATTCGCTCTCGATTTCTATGCGTGATAGAAATCTCGAGCTCATAATCGAATTGTTTAATAGTTTCAAACCAAGGCAAGTACATGATTACATGATTACATGATTAATGGTATAAGTTAAATTACCAGAACGCTTTACTTTATGATCTAATCTGACCTGACTATCTGCATTTGTTTTCCAGTCTTCTTGATCAGTCTCAGCAACAGCATCTTCTTCTTCCTGAGAAGAATAAACATTTAGGTCAGATTTAGATTAGGCAACCACTCTTCAGGGGAACACGAAGAAAAAGCAAAATAAGCGCGACGAACGTTTAAAAGAATGGTGTACCTCGTACTGTTAAGTTACTGTTATCAGACTAGTTACAAGACCAGTTGAAACCCTAGTCTCTGATAAGACGCAAAATATGTGGCATTGTATTTTTTGTGCAAATCTGCCCGGGCCACTTTCATGCCTTCTTGCATGGGATATAAACCAGTGTGATGTTCTGCCTACCTTGCATACATTTTGGGATGCCCGGTGTACCTTGGGTCGCCCCGACTAACTGAGTCTCAAAAGTTGCCTTAAACCAAAATTTGTCAAAATCCTGTTCCTGTTTGTTTCAAGATTGATACCTTCAACCCAGATACAATGATTCACGAGCAAATGGCACGTTGGGAACAAATGGGACGATAATTATAGACAGTTTTCTCAAGGACTGCCTCTCAAAGTGGACACCGGTGCGACCACATTTCTGAGACCGCTTATAGNTTTTTCCAATCTTATAACAAAGGAACTGCACGGTTATTTGCGAGAAAAAAAATACTATCTTCGGCTTGGGAAACGAAAAGCAACATTTATGGTAGAAGTAGAAAAAAATTATTAAGTTAAATATTAACACACCTGATCCTCGTTCTCTATTTGGTCACTGACATCCTTCATTCCTTCTCCTTCTCCGATACCTCCCCCTTCAATGTCTTCAAATTCTGTGGCCCCGTCCCCTTCACCCTCTTCAATTTCCGGGGGGAGACAGAATCCCTTCGAGGCCAGGTCAGTAAAAATGCTCAACAAGACAGACAGCAGTTTGCTTGTTGCACGGTGGGCTGCTAATAAATTGACGAGGAGGTTCTGCGAGAGGTTCAAGTACTGATGAAGAAGAGGAATGGAACTTGCTAGTAACAGCGTGCAGAAGCTAATAGACGACAGCTGGACTGGAGAGCTATAAGCCGACCCTGTAGAATCAGCCATGTCTTTGAGTTGGGACATGAGGCTAGAGATTGCTTTCGTCACGTTGTTGAAGTCGAGGCTGTTGATGTCATCAAGCAAGCTTTGATGGAGAAGGGTTGTCAAGTNATGAACACATTTCAACATCTGCTAGTGAGAATAAAAAGGCTTTTCTACGAGGAGACTTAGGGTTTTTCAATTTCAAGGAGTTTTCAAGGATATAGCGAATTTTTCAAGGACTTTTCAAGGGTTGTGTGGGTCATCATCGCATGCTTTGTATGAGCCCCATTGCAAGATATCATCTAATTACCTTGTTCATCAACCTTGTCTTCATTCAAGGGTTTCTCTCCATTTCGTTCTACCAACATGTCAGTTCTCCAGGCGTGAAATTCCCTGCATTCTTTCAAAATCTTATTCTTAAGGCACGTCAGTGGTCCGCCAAGGCCTTTATCTGCGGGACAACTGAAACAACAACTCCAGATTTGAATAATTTGAAACGACGTCTTCAAAAAGAGAATAGTCATTTGCACATATGCAGTTCATTACCAGAAGAACAAAGAATGATATCATAAATGATACAAAGTGGTAATATGCAGAACTTTAAGTAAGGACGGGACGATAGACTGTTCATAAAAAATAAACTCGTTTCGTCCAAACACAAGGAATAATTATGCAACTTACAACTGGGATGAAAACTTGGGCAACATTTCGTCAATCACTTCAGCAATTTTCTCCAACTTAACAAAAGCATCCAATACCGTAGCAAACTGACGCCTAAAATAAAAATTAAAATAAATAAATAAATAAATTACTACATATGGACATAACATGGACTCGACAACAATGGCGGATTTCGATGTACATATGCGCATAAAAAAAATTAATAAATAACTATATGTAAGTGTCAAATGTATTTGGCACTGTTGTATTAATTGGGAACACTGTAAAAAAATAAACAAATATTGCGAACAGAACATAAAGTATTAAGAATCCCAACTGTTGGGAGGCTGACCAGCTGACCAACGCGATCGAGGAGTTAAACTCGGGACTACCGAGAACATATTCAGATAGCGGTTAGGGTGGAGGATTTTAATCAGGGATCTCCTGATTTCAAACAGAGCGCCCTAAACCACTCGGTCACGCCATCTCCTGCATGTTTTTCCTGTTTCGTAAATGACAGATTTCTGACAGTTGCATTGGCCGTCATTTTCTTATCTTGTTGAACAACGCATAAGATATTAATTACCAAGAAGCTATAAAAGCTGTGCTGTCATCCCGGTTGGTATTATTTAACACGTGATCCGATACAGCAGCGTAAGGTCTGACATCTTTGCTTAGCTGTTGCACTTTCTTTACAGAACCCTGAAATTGAGATAAATACACTCTTCAGAGAAAACGGAATACACACATCACGCAGCCTGTTACACAAAGAAAGATTGACTTAAGTCATGAATTTAGGTGTCAGTAAACTCATGAACTAACTCAATATATATGGGTTATTGACCAAGCGTGAGGTCAAAATGGCTTGATATTGGCCAAGTTCCTTAAACCATAAACACGCAAAAAAAAGAACGAGGCCAATATCCAACCATCTTGACCGAACAAGCTTGGTCAATAAGAGATTTATTATATGGAAAAAGAACACTATTTTCTTGTGGGACACAGCGGGTAATCCCGAGTGGGCAAGATAGCGCCATTTCGCCCGCTCGGGTAGCCAATCACCGTGCAGGATTCGGTTCCTCTTGTTCGCTCACGGAGTTAGCCATAAAATAACGCGCGCTCATAGTTCATACCTCTAGCGTCTGTGTTACTTCTGTGACGAGAACATCGTCAGCAGAAGACATGGCCAGAGGTGATAGCAGAGATTGCGGCAGTGGAGACCATTCCTGAAGTGACACTTTCTCACTGGGACAACACTTCAGCAATATGGACATTTGTTGTAGAACCTGGGCCGTGTGGGTTAGAAGAGCCATCAGCTGGACCTTGAAAGAGAGGAGAAACTCGAACAAACTTTCTTTACAGTTATTTAGTAAGATAATGATTACTTGCAGCAATGGCTAGTGCGAAGCTAACTGAAAGGAAATATTAAAAAATGGACGAGTAACAAAGATAAGACATATTCAAAATTTAAAAAAAAAACTTTCTCTGGTTAAAATAGTTTAAAATTATAAGCTTTCGATTGTCTGTCTGCAATCTTTGACAAACAGATTGCAGACCTATAGTGATCAGGCCTATTTGTCAAAGATTGCAGATTGGCAACGGAAAGCTCTAGTAATTTTAAACTATTTTAACCGGAGAACGTTTTTATTAAACTTAGAAAGGAATAGTTTGCAAAAGCACATTCTAGAAGTTTCTAGCAGCTTACACAAATACAAACTTACCGTGCGTTCTTCAAGGTCTCTCTGAGGTGGTAGAGGTATCAGTCCTCTGGTGACATCATCATTTGGTAAACCGACAGCTTCTGTGAGCTGCTTAAGGGAGACACTGAGACACAAGCAAAATGAAGAGACTGTAAGAGGCTGATATAAACTGCTTCATATCGATACTTCACCAAAACGTAACGCAAGATTAACAGGAAGCTTCAAAGTGGTGTGGAAATCGAGAGTAAAGGTTAGTAAATGCGACAATCCATCAGAAATTATAACTTTCACAACGTCTCATTCACACCAACTAAACTAGTTTAACTAAATCAGGTTTACGTTTTTCCAATTTGTCGATTACGCTTTGCAGTCATTTTGAAAAGACAAATTTCAAACCACCTTGCTTACATATTTTCATCAAACAGGTTTTTACTTTGTTAAGTTGTGGGGTGTGTGTGGTATGAGCAACTAATTTTTAACCTTGTTTAGTTATACCGCTTTTTAAAAATATTTAAAGATGTTGTTGTGAATAGGATATGAGACTTGTAAGGAATAACATTAGCCCGCATTTTGCCATGAGCGGGTAGATATATGAAACATCGTTTATTTGAACCGTGGGAGAGAGACTTCAAGACATGAGAGATCATCACATTTATGTACGCAACTAACGCAGCTACGAAAGTGAAGCCAGAACAAATTTCAGGCTTGAATGGAATTCGAACCCACGACCCCTGCGATACCGGTGTGGTGATTTAGAAATGTGGGAAGTGGGGCCCGTTTCTCTAAAGCCCCAGAAACGTTTCGGGCCCGCAAAGCAATTTTTAATTAATCTGTATCTAAAAACAGAGAGGTGTATATGCCTGAAACTTAATGTACGAAGAGAACCACTCTTCATATTAAGAATATGTGAATAAAACAGCTCTGTAATCAAAACGTTTGAGATTTGCCTACGGCTTTCCGAGTGCAAAAACAATTCAGGACCTTCGAGAAACGGGCCCCTGGTCACTNGTTTATTATCTCTTTGGTGTTTTCCTATATGTTAGTAGATTATTATTTTAAGGTTTCCTTCAATTTAAAGGTAATTTTATACGTGGCCGAAATAACTCAAAACTGATGCCATGACCGAGCCCCTTTCATAGATGCATTGTTGTGTAAATTACATGTCCATTGCATTAGATAACACGGTATTGCATGAACTGGTCTCATACACTGCACTGTGGCATTGCTCTCCATCCGGCAGATTCCAAACAAAAAAAAACACACCATCAATTATTTGCCATGAAATTTCAATGTTCATTCTTATTCTTGACGAATTGACCCTTTATTCTCAACAGTTAACAAACTTTTCTTCTAACAGTTATCAATACATGTTCGTTTTTATTGCATATGGTTGGTACCGTTCTGCAACAAGACAGCTCGTCAACCATTTTGAAGGTCACTGAATCACCTTCTAAACCACGCAAAAGCGAATGAATTATTTGTTGTACAAGAAGCCATTGCCATCATACCAAGTGAGGATAACATCTTGAACAGGTCTGACAGACTTTTGCGTTTCCTTTGTTGAATATGTTTTCGCATCTCTGCTTGCTTTTCTTTCGGCTAGAATGGAAAGTTAATGAAAGAAGTATTACTACCCCGCTACCGGATGACTGAAGTAAGAGACCAGCAGGGCCATTTGAAGATTAATCATGTGCAAGATAGACAAACAAATTAGTGAGACAGTCAGTCTCCTCAGACAACGATTAACGATTATTTTCAAAATATTTTCAATATATCAGTTTGCAATGGANAGATTCCAAACAAAAAAAACATACCACACCATCAATTATTTGCCATGAAATTTCAATGTGCATTCTTATTCTTCACGAATTTGACCCTTTACTCTCAAAAGTTAACAAACTTTTCTTCTAACAGTTATCAATACATGTTGGTTTTTATTACATATGGTTGCTAACGTTCTGCAACAAGACAGCTGGTCAACCATTTTGAAGGTGACTGAATCACCTTCGAAACCACGCAAAAGCGAATCAATTATTTGTTGTACAAGAAGGCATTGCCATCATACCAAGTGAGGATAACATCTTGAACAGGTCTGACAGACTTTTGCGTTTCCTTTGTTGAATATGTTTTCGCATCTCTGCTTGCTTTTCTTTCGGCTGGAATGGAAAGTTAATGAAAGAATTAATACTTCCCCGCTACTGGATGACTGAAGTAAGAGACCTGCACGGCCATTTGAAGATTAATCATGTGCAAGATACACAAACAAATTAGTGAGACAGTCAGTCTCCTCAGACAACGATTATTTTCAAAATATTTTCAATATATCAGTTTGTAATGGAGGCTCATGCGGGGAAATATCATTGAAAAGAGAATAATGTCATTGCATTTGAAAAGACTCCCCGCATTAGCCTCATTTGCAAGCTAGTTCCAGTCCAAAACCGAGAATACGAAAATGGCATATTCAGCAATAGGCCCTTTGCACGATCCGGTCACATGGTGCAAAATCACACATGCTGGTGAGCAAGCTGCGCAGTGGGACTTCCAAAACAAAGGCAGGTCCAGGTGGACTGGTACGAGTTGCATTGTTTTGGAAGTCCCACTGTGCAACTTGCTCACCAGCATGTGTGATTTTGTACCATGTGACCGGATCGTGTAAAGGGCCTATTCACCTTGAAATTTAAGTGCAATCTATCGTATGGAAACACAACAGACAACTGTGTGTCTGCCTAGGAAGAGACAGGTTGAAATGCAGTGGTCGTGGCCATAGCCATGATGACCAAGAATCCCGGTGTTAAAGAAGCTTTGACTACAATTCAAGACAAATGGCAAAGACAGACTTGAACTCCATGGCTCACCAGGCCAAAACTTATCTCCAGTTTCTGCAGCAAGGAAAGACTAAAAGTATCATCACTCTCTCTTCGTGAAGGGTTGGAAATGCAGAGAGCTTCACGTAATACATAGAGCAAAATTAAGGAGGAATTTGGTGACAACAATGAATTTTTACACCCAGTGCAAACTGGTGTACAACATAACTGTGCATTACCTGATTGGTCACATCTAAAGCCTGTAATTCGTTGGACGTGGCAATGACTTCACCTGAAAGATTGTCCAAAGACCTTATGCATAGACTTTAGTGGCTTACATTACTGTACATAATCAAGACTGTTCTTCAAAACCCTCACGAAAGAAAGTGCCAAGTAAGCCAGAGTATTACAAAACCAATTTTGTAAGCACGTCAACTTCAACTTCAACTTCAACTTGACTTTATTTTGCATTTACATTTTGAAATTACAATAGGGGGCTCAAGCAACGACGACGACGACGCAGAGGACGACGCAGAGGACGACGCCGAGGAGGACGCCGAGGACGACGCCTGGTAAAAAATGAATTTATATTTTACAAGCGAAATTCGCGATTGCCTAGATCTGTTCGGTACGCCAATGGCTCTAAAAACGTCCTTAAGCTAAATATACAACGACGGCGTTCAATTCCAAATGGAAATAAGAAAAATTAGCCGTCGTCGTCCACTTTCCGTAGACGACGCAGAACTTGGTCATTTCACGTGGTTGTTTTGCAGAGGACGGCAAAGAAATGTACAACGATTTATAACGCACGTGCACAGCTATTGTTTTGCTCATTAAACCTTTGTTTGGTGACGTTCTCGTGGCCGTCGTCGTCGTGCTTTGCTTAAGCTCCCTAATATTAGCACGATACCTACACGATATGTAGTTGTGTTAGTAAAGTACTACTGTACAGTAAAAACACTTGTTTCGTTTACGGACGGCACATCTACAATCACATACATCGAAATACAATGTTACAAGTACCTGTAAAGTCATCTAAAGACATCACCAGCAGCATATACTCTTGTTGGCTCAGTATCTGCTGGGAAAGCTGCCTCATCTTTTCAAAGAGTTTTGGTAACCGAGTCTGGTTCATTGGGAGACACAATCCATATTGTTCATACGCTGAAACAAGCTGACGACCTCTGACACAATACACCTACAGCAAGGAAAGGTACTCCTTCAGGTTCAAAGTTACTTTCAAAACCCCTCTGTAGTAAATGGTTTTATAGTGGATGACTTGAACTCGGGAGTATCAGTTGTTCGTCTGGTGTGATCGTCCGGGTGAGGGTAGACGCTCAAGTTGTCAAAACGTTAATCAAAAACAATCGTATTCAGGGCTTCCCCCAATGGAACGATCATACCAGACGAACGACGAAAATTTTTCATGCTTTTCTACCATATACTATACTACTGACATTGGTCAGTTGTCTATGACTTCATGCCTGCATCCTGGCGAGTTCAGTTGGTACAGTAATGAACTCGACATAAGTGTCTTCTGAGCATCTCTTCATCCCTTGTCAAATGAAACTGAGTGTCAGGACCAAATTCTTCCAATTAAAGACGGGTTATACCAACATCACTCTTTTTTCTAACTGCGCCACATTTTAAAAACTGACGCAAACAGGAACTTGAAACTTCTAACCTTGGGAAAAATACTGTATTGTGCTTACCTTTAAGTTGTCTGGTGATGTAAACCACTCAGGTTGTACATCTTTTCGTTCATTTGTTTGATGTTTTCTTTCTTCGGGAGAGCCAAGAGTCTTCCCAACATTCATCAAGGTTTTTTGCACCGGTTCATCAAGTGAGACCTTGGGAACAAAACAAATCAGCAGAGGTAACTTGGCAGTTACTAAAAACTCTTCCAGGAAACAAGCTGCTAGTATTGTACTACTACTATTGCGAAAAATAATAACAACAACANTCCGGGGGTTATCCCAGTTTCTGTAGTATTAAGCAAATTAGGAGAATTTCTACCCCTCCCTATAGCATGGGTAGCTAGTCCCTCACAAGCTTCCCCCCCCCCCCCAACCCCCCTTAAAACAAATTAAATTCGCGGATAACGATTCATAAATCTGTGTGGTGAGAGGCACTGTGAAAGTATTAGGTTCTTGCCCTAGAACACAACTGAGTAAATGACCCCGACCAGGGCTCAAACCCGGACCGCTTGATCTGCAGTCTAAGGGCGCTCTATATTGCATACAACTACAAACCTTAAGGTCTTTTTCAATGGGTTTTCTCATTTCTTGTAGGGTTTGCTCGACGCAGGGAATGAACTGCTTGTAGTAGCTGTACAGGTTCCACAGAACATCTGACACTGTCACTGTGCAAAACAAGTAATGCAATCACATAATGTAGGTAATTTGAAGGACGTTTGCGGAGAAAATACTACACTCGTGTGGTTGTGCAAGTTATGATTTTCTTCATTCGATTTTACTTAGGATCTTATTAAGATCATTTCAAAATTATCTCTCATTTCTCAACTTGCTATCACAAATATACAGTTCACAAATTATTAACAAGGCTCGGAAAAACGCACTTAAGATACACATGTATCCAAATACAATCAACGGTATGAAAAAAAGATGGCGGCTACACATTTTACCACAATGCCTTGCGAACTTAACACAGCCTACAAGGCACAAAGAAAGCCAAATTTTTACAATATTTTTCCCTGTGCTAAGGACATTGTGTAGCTTTGGTTGGAATATTTTATAACGTTTCTGTACGCTTTTATGAACGTTATTAAGGTTTTCGTGCGCTAAGAGCTATGGGTAAATGTACCAGTCGCCCTCTTTTTGCCTACGGAGGATTGTAACAACTTTCTTGGTAATAATAAGTCACCTTCAGTTTTCCAAGTGCTGCCTTCCTCGTAGCACATTTCCTTGTAAAAAGCAAATAGCATTTGAACACGGGAGGCAAATTCACCAAGCGTTGAGCTTTCAATGAATCTCTGAAGTGGTTCGATTAACTCGCTGCCTTTAGGGATAGTATCTGTTTATGAAAGAACACAATGACCGTCGATGAGTGAACACGACAATTATTTAGGTAATGGGTTACTTGCATACAGATGTAACTGAACGTTACAACTGTTTCTACGATGCTAGCCGTGCGGAATGAGAAGTATCAGATAGTTTAAACAACACACAGGAATGATACACACGCTGTTTATTTGACGCTTTATAAGCAATTTCGGAATGTTTGAGGATAACGGTCACATTATTACCAAGATTATCCATACATCATTAGATACGCATGCTCTGTCTCTCTGTCATTTTGTATAGTGTATGTAAATAAAAACCCGCTTATGATAAGCATTGCAATTTGTTGTAATATTTTAATAAACATGACCTACAACAGCCCGATGCAAGCACTTCGTATGCGGTGAATACAAAAAACTTCATGTATACTCACCATTGAGTTCATGACCTTCCTCGCGTGCCCTAAACTGTTCCAACGAGTTATAAATATGAAACCACCACTGACTGGCCTTTCCTGCCGCCTTAACAGTAGCCACATCAAGTAGAGATGACCAGCATCTGCAGTGAAAAAAGACGACAGTTTACAAACCAGACATGAAGTGTTTTGAACACACTATGACAGCCTTTCAAACGTCTCCGACAAGTGAAAAGTGTCATACTTGAGCTCCATTTTTCTCCACTGTATAATCAGACTTGTCACGTTGTCCAGATGGTCTTTAAGGCTAACATGTTTAGCGGCATTAGACTCCCAGTCCTATAAGAGAAATATAGAAACACAATTCTGAATGGTAGAAGGAGTAGGGAAGTTGAAACATTGTGGCTTTATCTGATAGAAGTGTCTTTTTTGTTCAGTCACAAATGAAAATGAAGCAAGAGACTGCTTGCAAAGACGGACACAGACATATGTCAGCTCAATGAGGTCAAATTCTTAGTTTGCAATCTTTAAATAGTTAAAAACCCTTTTTCAAAGTTGTTTTCTAGCGGTATTCACCCTTAATACAAGCTGGATGCATAAACATTAGTACTGATAGTTTCACTCTGCTGAACCAGTAAGGTTTGTAGTTTGGTCCAATATCACTCTTCATGAACCTTGCGTAGGAACAAGAAATGATTACAAAAACAAAGTGCAGTATACTGAGCTGAAAACCTTACCTGGGCCTTCCTAAGCAAAACCTCAAGACCTGTTAGAATCTTCATCACTGGACTTGTCACAGGAAAGGACAATATTCTTTGCACCACCACCGACAGCTAAAACCAAGAACATTATCAAGAACTTTTAGACCGGTTTTTAATTGAGTGTCGAACGTAATCAGGCAAGGAGTTTGGTTTTGGTTTTTGGTTTTAGTAGGGTTTGAGATTGGCTGCCTAGTCTAATTGGTAAGTGATAGGTCTGGTTTTGGTTTTAAGACACTCAAACATACCAGACCTTTTTCTTGAACAAAGCAACAGTTGAACGAATCCTGGGTTACCTCATTTCTGCTTTGAGATACAATACTAAAATTATGACATACCACGATTCACAAATTCAGGAAAGACAAAGTCTGTTCACCTGCAAAAGATTAGGATGCCGAGGCCATTCTGCCAACAACTCATGAACACGAACCATTAAACGCTGAAGAACTGGTTTCACCTTGACCACCTCTTGAATGTTGGAATCGTGGTAAATATTAAACGGGGTACCTGCACTTACAACACTTTGGGATTGTACTTTTTGCTGTGAGATAAGAGAGAAAAACATTTACGACACACTGCATAAAGTACTAAAACCTACAATCATGGGCAAAAGTCTTGGGACAAATTTGCACTTTTGGCGCTTTTGCGCACACACCAGACGCGAACACAACTTCACCCGCCTACCCCCCCTACCCCCACCCCCCATACAATGTTGAAAACTACTACCTACAATTTCTTCTGATTTTCAACATTGTATTTGGTGGGGAAAGGGAAGAGTAACGCGTTTTTAAAAGGAAAGCAGCGCTTTTTTCAAACTTGTAGTAAAACACGTACAATTTGTTAAATTACATAAGTGTACCAAGGACGTTTGTCCACGATTGTAGTTTTAAGTAACTCCCGCTTCTCAAGCATTTACCATGAACTACAGTACGTTAACTTGATAATTCAAACCCTATTTGGGTGGAAGCTTTTTTAAAAGTTTGAACATAGCCGACAGATCCTTTGAAGAGAAACATTTCTAAAGGGAGATAGTTGTGCCTGTGCCAAGCTTGTCTACGTAAAGGGGAGTTGACCGAGCATCAGAATGAAGAAACCACGATCTTAAGNGCACAAACGTAACTTTTTCTGACAAAAGTGCTAACAATGCTTGTGCAGTTAGGTTTAATGAGTCTAAAGGAAGAAAACAATATGTCTTTTCAGTTTATTTGGTGTGATGTAGGAACAAGTCTGCTTTTACTTGTAAGTCCATCTACACTCCTATACTTTACCCCAGGAATAAGACGTCACTTACATGGAATGATGGCATTCACCACTGCAGCAGTTTGATAACTCCACTGGAAAGTTTCCAAATACAACGTCTCTAAGGACTCACTTGGGCAGCGGTCTGTCCCATCTAAAGAGAAATCTTGACTTGATGGAAATCGACAGAACGTCTCCTCGTGTAGTTTTCGGATTTCCGAGAAGTCGGTAATGTTTGACATAAACAGTTCAGCGTCTGATTTTGAAGCATGTGTAGATGACTCACTTTCCCCCTGGGGGACGACCACATTCTCATTCAAATCCTGGGGAGCCATGATGTCCTTAAAATCTCCATCAAAGGTTGGAAAGGCCTGGCTAAGGGCTTCTTTATTCTCTTCATCCTCAGTTAGATTTGAGCCATGAATTTTGTTCCTAAATTTGAACAAGTTTCCCTCCTCCTCTTCTCGCTCCCTTTCTTGTTCTTTGAAGATTTTCCATTTGTTCACGAAAATTGCCAGAATTGAAGCCACTGCCTGGTACATTTTGCTATCGAGGAAGCCATGTTGGATGGAATGATTACGAAGATAAAGCACTGACAGGCGTAAGATCCTGCAAGATATACACAAAAAAGGAAAGTTTAATAAACAGATATCGCTGTACAATACAGTAAGCCACTGTCGTGTATCAGAAAGCATAAACTATTAACAAGCTAAAACAGGTGATAGATGTACCTGTATGCAACAAGTCCAGATGCTGAAGCGGCCATTTCACGACCTTGTAGATATTTGACCGATCCTGAAGTTAAAAGACATATATAAACATTTCGATAAGCTGTGATTTCCATGAAACTAAAACTCTAAAATCAAAGACAAATGGAACTGCAATATAATAATGCAAAGACCTATCACCGGTGACTCAACTCTTAAGATCAGATGACATTATCAAGGCCTACCTTGGATGCAACTATCAACAGAGGGTGACATAAGAGACACTGCAGTGTCCAAACAGGACGACGAACTTGACATGGGGAACTGACACAATAACTGCAAGACGTCGTCTGGACCACTAAACTGTCGTGATAGAGTGATACAGACAAAATCATTAAGTAAGAGCGTAACGTTTTTATGCGGTGTCAAGCATGGTGTGATAATTAGTTCCGTTTCTATTAAGTATAAGTGAAAAAAGTACCTGCAACTTGAAGACGGCGCGAGTTACCTGTGACTTGGTGTCCACTGGAAGCTGAACGCAAAAAGTGTATTGTTGAAACAGCGTTGATAGCTTTGCTGACATGAGGGATACCCCGTAAATGACCTTCAATGACGACAGAACCATAGTTGGTAAGTGGACGTTACTATATGTACTATACGTCAAGAAGATTTGTGAAAAAAACTGGCAATAAACCGTTTTACCAAAGAATGACACGAAAACCGTATTACGGGTATTTCCTACCATCAATGAGGTGAATTGCTGCTTTTTAAAACCCTCAAAATTCCCGCGACAGTGGAAGTAGAATGTTGTAAACTAGTGAATCCTGCCCTAAAAACCTGAACTGACTCTTTGCAAGAAAAAAANAATGAGGTGAATTGCTGCTTTTTAAAACCCTCAAAATTCCCGCGACAGTGGAAGTAGAATGTTGTAAACTAGTGAATCCTGCCCTAAAAACCTGAACTGACTCTTTGCAAGAAAAAAAAACTCTTTCAAGCGAGATTTCTTAAAATGTCCACACTCCTCTTACCTGAGACACGGCAGCAACAAAAGGTCCCAGTAAATCGCAGTACAGTGGGTGTTCTTTCTTTAACCGCAGGACAAATCTTTCTGCAGATGTGTACCACGCTTTGGCTTTGTGAAGAGCTGAGTTGACAGCATTCAACTGAATATTTCCGAGGACACCTTCTTTAAGTTGGGCATACATTTGTGATGCCAGCCCACTCAGGGAGTCAATCAGGCTGAGAATTGTGCTGGTATCACCCACTGTACTCAAGTAGTGTTTTACTTCAGAAAGAATAACTTCAAACTGTTGAACAATAATGAATACGATTAAGTCAATTTGTCTTGGGATCCAAAAATAAGAGCCAAAGGAACTCTCACATTCACAAAGCGACCTGTTTATGTACGCAAGATCTCGAGCATTTAAGATTGGGTTCCAAATTACAAATTCCTTAACGTGACCACCTGAAGGCAGACTCTCTAAGTGTAAAACGGGTTGTACGCTTTTGTTAAAATTGTCACAGTACCAAACAACCTATCTTACCAAAACATATACGTTAAGGCATTTGTTATCTGAAACAGCCTCTAAATCGGTATCCAGTTTATAAAAAAAATAGTAATTTTGCGGCTTTGCTTTATTTAAGTGCCCAAAGCGAATTCTCCAGCAGATTGACCTCAAAACGTTACGCTCAGGTACTTCTATCAGAGGCTTTACCTGTGAAATGGCCGGTCTAAAAGCTGAATTCTTGTCCAGATGTTGAGCTTGAACTCGGAGTTCTTTTAGTTTGGTTAACAGCCGCCGGACACGCCAAGGATTTGAGGTTAACTGTGATTCACTCCAGCACTCCAGTGACAACAGAGCTTCCAGTTGATCTGAGCTGGTCTTCAAACCGGTCCAATATTCTTCTGCGTAGTACCTCACTTTTAACTCTTCTTCAAGTCTTTGAATCTGTCAAATCCGTTTCTCAAATACATTAATGATTCATTAAACTTAAACAAAGTTAATCTTGATCGTGACCATGTTTGGATATATGATCTTAATTAGCATAGATGTTTGCGATTTTCCTCTGTTTTCCCTTAAGTTTTAGTCTCGATTAAGAAGATATATCAAACACTCAAGACAGTGTTTGACCATATTTCCAAACACCTTGACGTTCATCAAACATACTCCACTGCGCTCTCCTGTCGGTGTTTGGAGATGTGGTCAAACGCGGTCTTTCGTGTTTGACATATTACAGGCTCAGCTTCTTGAAGCAGTTGTGACTCAAACGACTATTTTCTGGCCATTAATTAATAGGACCTTGTAGTAATGCGATGGCTTCTTTTAGTTGCTCAGGGAAAATGGTTCTCAATTACTTCCACTGCATTTGCATATGGAATTTTCTGTCTACCCACCTTTAAAAGTGCGAGAAAGCGTAAAATTCAGAGACCAAAACATGTTTCAATACCTTCAACTTAACGACCTGCAACCGAACAGTACATATTTCTTATAAAATAAAGATCAGAATCACAAGTGAAGTTACCTCTTTCTTAACATGCTGCAACACAATGCTGTTCTTCTCCACAGGATCCACTGTCCCAACAGGAGACAGGATCAACGACAGCACCAAGCCAAGTTGTACCCACATCTTGCCACGGCAAATGGAATCCCATAGAATGTCTCTGGTGTCTGAAAAAAGGAAATGACTGCTGTGGGAATCCCTGTAATCACTTGTGGCCTAACAAGGTCCACTGCCGTCAATATAAGCACAACAATCTCTCTCCATTACAACGAAACTTATTCGCTAATGAGAACAGGAGGTTAACCTTATTTTTATTAATTCAAGGTGGGCAAGAGCATGGAGAGCATATAACTGTTATGAAATCAAGTACATAGTTTCCAGAATCTCGTAATTCATTACATGGTTTAAAGCTTCTTGTACAAGGTAATGGAATGACAAGAGATGGTACGAATTGTAACAAACAGAGCAGCCGTAACAATNAAGAATCATTAGCTTACAAGGGATTAAATGGAATTTGGGTTGGCTCACAAGGAGTAAATGGAATTTAGGTAGGGTTAGATTCTATCCAAAAGGCAGTGTCACCTAAAATATGCAGGGTCCCAGGGGTATTGCAAGTACTTTGTGCTGGGCTATTAACCTCTATGTTTGCATTCATGATCTTTTTCCTTTCTCGTAACATTGACATTTTCATTGGTGCATAATTACTGGTGCATCTTGTATCAGAGCTGTATTGACAGGTGCTTCAACAGTCTTACCTAATTTCCTCAGTATAAATTCTTCTAAAATACCACTTAACCCCATTATGTTGTTAAAAACTACTGTCCACATGGATGTTTCATGTTTCATGCAAAATGACGATACCTGTTTGCTTTGTTCAGACACCTGATTTCGAAGATAAACTTGTTTAAGAGAAGTTGTAATAGCAGACAGTGCATCACTTCCTCGTTCAAGGAGTTGCCTTGTTAGTGACGCTGCATGAAGCATGTCTAGTACTGAACCTAACGAATACAAAACAAAACAAATCTTGAACTTTACTTCTCAGGCACAAGGATGTATCGAGTTCTTCCAACGCTCTCACAAAAGCCAAAGATACGTGTAGTATAGCATTCTACCAAAGTTAGGTAATTCCTACCTCCAACGACTCTCTTGAAGTCTTTTTGAAACGTAACAAGAGAATCACATGTCGCCTTATCTTCCAGCCCTAAACCATGTAGCATCATGTGGCGATCATAGTCATCAAACATGTCACGATCCTCCTGTTGCACAATCAAAAGAACGTTTGGTTTGCATAATAAAATTAAGAGCAAAAGGAAAAGAACTTGTAAGAAAAACGTGCTTCATCTCAGTTTTGATGGGCTTTTTTTGACTAAAGTTTGTACCAGCAGGTGAAAAATCGTTTCTTTTTTTCTTATTTATTAATGGCCTATAGGAAGAAAAACTTAAGCGACAGTAGGAGCCCTGAAAGTAATAATTGAACGATTTTCACAAGAATGCTCTAAGAAAATTTAAACACTTTCTTTCAATGTAAAAAATATCGTTTCAACCAATCAGAAAAGATTTGCATCACAGCAAAAGGGTGGAAACACATTCCTGTCATTTTGTTCTGAACAAATTCATCGTCAGCAGCATGTGATCCTGTTTTCAGCTACCTGACCCATACACAGATAGAACATGACTTTGTACACTCGTTGCGTTTCACACCATTCTCAACGTACCTCTCCTAGCATGAAAATCTCTACTCCTCTATTACGCATTGCTCGTGATATTTCCCCATATCTCGGATCCATGGCTAGAATCAACCTAAAGAAACATTGAAACCCACGGGATGATTAACGTGAGGACTTTCATATTTTAACCTTTGTTTCTACAGCATTGATCTGGATGCTACATAAAATAGGTCTATAAACATATTTTTGTTGTACACAGTGAGTTCTGGACACAGTAGCCAGAGCCGTAGGCAGCATGAGGCAAACTGAGGCTCTTGCTTCAGTCATTTTTTTCGTTTGTGTTATTTTTCTTTTTGAAGGAAGATTTAACAATGGACATTGCCGCACTCATATTTTTTCTGGCTACGGCCCTGGTAGCATTATTGAGATAATTGAACCTGAAGTTAGGGTGTGGTTTGATGGCGGGGATTTGCCCATCTATGACACCCCTTTCATCAATGGTCAGGACTCCTCCAGGCTCTAACAAAGCATTCAGTCTGTCCAGAACAGAAGGACTGAAACNCAACATTAGGTTGCAACAATGTCTAGGTATAGCTACTTCAGGGTGCAGCAATGAATAACTTCTGCTTTCCAACTAGTGGGAAGAAGTGTGTTAGCAGTCCTACTCAGTTACAAACATTGCATATGGGTTATTGACCAAGCGTGAGGTCAAGATGGCTGGACTTGATGGCTTGACTCCGTCTTGGTCCATAACCATGCAAAAAAAGAATGAGGCCAATATCTAGCCATCTTGACCGAACAAGCTTGGTCAAATAAAGATTTATTTTATGAAAAAAGAACACTATTTTCTTTCGGGACACAGCGGGTAATCCCAAGCGGGCAAAATAGAGCCATCTTGCCCGCTAGGGTAGCCAATCACAGTTTTGCATTCGGGTCATCTTGCCCACTCAAGTAGCTAGCCATGTAATAAGGACAATTATTGCTGTTGCTGAAAAGACTGTCGTACTTGTTCAAATCCTCCCAGTAGTTCTGTAGTATCCATGGCACTGTTCATGGCCATTACTTCTAGCCTGTTTCCCGTCAGTTGAGCAACAAGATGGACAAGGGATGTCTTTCCACAGGACCTTGGACCAACCTGGGCATCCAAAAAGGAGACATTAGACACAATCCTCAGCAAACAACAACTTGTTTACATGTATCAGTCACTTTTACTCTGAAGATTCCGGATGGAGAAAACACTAGTTGAGGCCAGCATTCTACTTTGTAGAATCCCATGAGGAAAGGCAGTAGCCTATCAGGACAAATCTACAATGAACAACAAAAGTGTTGAGGCACTTCCCAGTAAAATAGTATTTTTTTGGCGTTCACCCCATCCCCCTCCCTGAAAAATATTGATTTTCTACTTCTAAAACTGTACAGACCACAGTACCTACACAACACTCAATTGGGGAGCCAGGGGTATCAGAGAATTAATGCTGCAAATGAAAGAGAATAAGAAGTTTAATAGCGTCATTTTCTTAGTGTCTCAAGTACTTTTGTTGCCCTTCGTAGCTGTGCATAAGAATTGTTCCTCAAATTCAGGTGTAACTCATTAACCACACAACTCCCCTTTAAATCTATTTATCATTCTCTCTTTGTTATGTGGTTACTCACTAGTATGGCCATCCAGTTCATGTCAAGACACGTCATCAGTGACTCCATGGCTGGCAGACAATGATGGAGGACTTGCAAAGGTCTTCCAGAAATACTGGATTGATCCACTGAGGTACATCTAGGAAGCCATGAATGACCAGCCTTGAAACACAACAAACAAACATCAACCACCATTACAGAAACAATGGTCATAGTTTTCATATTATTGTCAAAAATTCCACAGCTCATCTACTACTTCCACAACCATGTTAGGGAAAATTCATAACGTCGAAATCTGGGAAACACAAAGTCCAAGCTATCAAGCCCTGTTATACAACAAACTTTACATCAGACTCACCCAAACAGCACTTAAGTTGAATGCGTCAATCACTGTTTCTCCACAAGGTTGCTTTCCCAATCAATTTTTAACAGATCTGCGGACAGACTCACCTGAACATGAGTTGGTGTGATGCAAAATGACTTCCGGGCCTGGAAGATGTTGCTTATCTGCTCTGAATTCTCAAAAATTGACTTGAACAACTTGAGCACCTTATTGCAGACAGCAAAATACAAAACAGTTGTGAAGAACAAAAAGCAGAGTACAAAACTCAGCAGCAATATTCTAGCTTGGACCACTTAAACTTATGCAATATGACAACATCTGTTACTGCAGTTGAGTCTGTTGTCAAATATTCTTTTCTTGAAAAAGGCATACAAACACAGTTTATGGGTCGATACAAAGCAGAATTGACACTTTATACGATAACTGATAACTGTGATAACAGCCACTGTCAGAGCAAAGACAGTAAGACAGTTCGTGCAATAGTCTCTTTTTGTCTGGTTTAAAAAAGCCATTGACCGTTTGCAAAAACATAACTTGAGAGCTTATTCAACAGTCTTGTTGAATATTTAATTTCTTAGAGCTTGGTCTCCTATCTGTTGGAAAAAATTATTTGGTTGTTCAGTAGGCTGCATGTAAATTAGAAAGTAGTGGCCATGCACTAAACCCTTATTGGCTCAATACCAAGGTTATGATTTGTTTTCTCTAGATAGATAAAGTAACCAAAATTTTGTTCTCATTGACGGACACAGCATTAAGGAGAACCTTACCATCTGTTTATCTTGCACTGTCCTCATTCTATCACTGTAAATAAGATGCACAAACTGACTGATGTCCCAAAAACCAGGAGACTGAAAAGAAAATGTCCATAAGCTTTCTCTATAAGAAGCGTAAAAATAAACCTACATTCTGATAAATACCTAGCAAACATTTCAACACAAAAAAACATATTCCTCGCAAATACAAGCATCACTGTTCTCTCCATACCTGGTGTTTGATAAGCAGATCACACCACCTGAATACATCTCTTAAGTTTAATTCCCAGGGACTTCCTTTCCTTCCCCATCTCCCCTCCACAACTGTCTCTTGGTGAATCTGTGAAGCAAGAAAGTTCACCAGATCAGTTTTTAATAAAACAATGGGTTGGTCTGTTACTACCGCTAGAATGCCTTACGAACTGGCCAGTGCTCATTTATCCATCTGGACAGAGAGAGGCACATTGGAGTTATAGCCTGCAAATGCTGATCAGAGTGGACACTATATTGTTGCGATAAACTTCTAAAAAAACACCCTGTAAGAAAGCAGCTGCTAAAAGCTGTACTTGAATGATTAGTAGGAGCTGTTGGCGTAATGATGGCTCGAACAAAGAAATAATTCAGATAAACAAGTGATTTTCTTTTCCTTTTTCTCGCGGAGTTTTCTAAAAGAAGATAACATTCTCTCTGTGTTTCTAGTGAGTTATAGAAACATTCCTGAAAGTTTGGATGAACCTAAAAAAGCTGTGGAAACACTTGCCTATGGCTCACTTTCCTAGAGCATTTCACGTTCTCCCAAACATAACCTTTATTTCTTAAATAAAAACAGAACATATAGTGGTACCTTTTGATTGAATGTGACCATCTTTTCTAAGATATTATGATCTATTTGTGGGTAAAGAGCTTCTGTGATGAACAGCAAGTCTGGTTTCGAAAGTGGCTCTACATATACCTGAACCAAAAGAGACAATAAGCCAACAGATGAACAAAACTCTGCTAAAGAAAAGTAGAGGCAATTTTTCAAGATCTTTCTTGGACATCCTGAGAGCTGTTAAAGGAAAAACAAGTTTTTACGATTTCGTTAGATTTTCTTAGAAAACAAACTGATTATTTTTATTACATGTTGAATGACATTGCGTGAAAAATATGGCCTACAGGCTCTATAAAAAATAAAGACATTGGTGTATTACATGTATGTTCAGACACACACTCTAAACAACTTCTGTATAAATAAGTAGTGAGCCTGAAAAAAATATCCCCCGTATGTTCTGACAGAATTACAACATTTAGGCCCCCATTATAAAGACTGCCATCACTATACCTGTGTGAATCTGTTAAGAAAAGACTTTGGCAAGCCTTTCCTTCCACCTCCTTGGTTCAATGGATTCTGACAAGCAAATAATCTCGTCTTCTCACGCTGAACTTTGAACGTCATCCCCAGCTCAGGAATATAAACCTACAATAAAATCAACGCTAAAAGATCTAACCTCCAAAGCGATCAACAAAATCAGCATCTGATAAAGAAAGAATGACTTACTTCAGCCCTGTGGTCCAGACAGGCATTGAGTCCTTCAAGAACAGACTGTGAGGCTAAATTCAGCTGGAACAAAAAAAAACCATCAAGGACATCAACAGTGCATAATGAATATTTCCTTTTCACAACCGTAAAAACCTAAACTGTGATAGGAAGGAAAAAGTTTAATCAACTTATGAGTCAAGCATTTATTACTACGGGCATCAACATCATTTATGAACAGCTCACTGTCTGGCATTTCTCGCTCCTGCCATAACTTCTGGCAGCCAATAAGGTAACTGGTTAATAACCATTATACACAAGAGACTTTGACATTTCAAACAACGTTATGCAAACATCGTCAATGCGGTTTGTTCAAAATTTGTGCACAAGACATGCACAACAATGTGAAAAGCCCTGGCCAAACAGACTCGCAAGTAGATGCAAGTTGAAAACTTGAGTCTACTTGCAACTTGGTTTTGCCAGGCCTTTTATACTTGCGTTGACTTGCGATGACTTGCACTCACTTTGGTAGAGATCAAATTGCAAGTCGACACAAGTTTTTCACTGTCTGACCACAAAACCCAAGTCAGCGCAAGTTGAGTGACGTCCAATATTTCATTGTTATAGGAACCTATTAGCAATAAAAACTATTATGCAGCGCTAAAATGGGTTTCTTGCAACTTGCGTGTATTTTCAAGGAAACTTGCGAGTTTCGGTCTCTAAAGTAATGTTTATCAAAATAGTAAAATAACCTCATCCAAGACAATCCAATGTCCTGCTTTAAGTGCCTTCAACAGTGGTCCATCCCGCCAAACAAACTGCCCAGCTTCACCTCCCTCAACAGGTAAGTCAGCACCAAACAGGTCTGTCACATCCTTCAAGTTAACAAACAAGACTATCACAACCGATATTACTGGGGCTTATTGCTTTGCAAATAAATAGCACCATACATTTACTTTACTAGCTAACATAAACAAAATCACAGTTTATCGTAACTTTAAAGAAGGGTATTTGGAAACTATTTCATTCATATGACGAGCTATACTAGCTGCTTTCTGTTAAGGCTATACAGAGTAATTAACTTGTTGCCATGTTTAGCTTAAAGTTAGTTACAAGAGAAAAAAAATATAAAAAATAAAAATAGTTGCAAGAGAAAAATTTGATTGACAGGTGAGGGTAATGGATTTCACTTGTGAGTTAGGGCCAGAGATAAATAACTATCTAAATTTTGCAAACTAAGCATATCCCATGATTTTATGAATCTGAGATGTCAGCTTTGTACATGTCTTGAGAACCTACTCTACTCTCAAAACAGCAGAATGTGACCCTTTCCCGTGGCCTACAGCACTCAACATAGAAAATGACTCAGTGGAAGTTCCCTGTCACTTCAAGAAATAAAATTTACCAAAAATAAATATCTACTTACAGTCTGCTCAGAGAGGTTTATCCTAATTAACTCATGACCAGAAGCCTTTGCAATAGCTCCAACAAGACTGGTTTTCCCAACTCCAGGAGAACCCTCCAGCAGAATAGGGCGGGGCAGCTGAAGGGCACGGAGCACACGCTGTGCATTTTGAGATGTTGTTGGTGAGCTGAGGGTATATGAGCTTCCAAAGTTCTCTGGTGGGAGCAGTGGACCTAATAAAGTATAAACACAATCAAAAGCTGCGGAGTCAGGACTCAGACTGTATTAGTACATTCTCATTAGATAGATGATTTTCACTTTGTATTGAGCATTACAAAACAAAACAATTTTAAATTCTAGCTATTGTTTGTCCAGTGGACAACCTTGTCCAACAGCTTGTCTCTGAATTCTGGCAACCAGATAGAGGTTAAGATTGTACATCTTACATATAGTAAAAGAGAGCAACTGCTTTGCTAGCTGATAATATTTACCTGAGTACTGTTTACAACAACACAACATAGTTTCCATCCAGATTCAATGAACAACACTTTTTCTTCTGATTAATTTTTAGTTAATTCATTCTCGTTTTATGTATTATCCTACTACAATTATTATCGTTGTTTTTACAAATTACCATTTCTGAGGGCTATTTAGAGAGAAGTGAAATGACCAAATCAAATGACATTATCCTGCATACCTCTTGGAATGAAAAACGGGCTAATACCAAACACATCTGTTCTGTCACTGGTGATTCCATTTTGCTCTCCAAAACATCCCTCTGCTTCTTTGCTTTGTTCCACCTGACTACCTAGGAATTCAAAGCATGCTTTGTATGCATCTTTCACAGCACCACTTGATGATGATGACGATGATGCTGACACTGACGATGATGAACCTGAGCCTAAAGCATCCAGAAACACAAGGCAAGCACCATGGACATACGCCATGGCTGGAGGGAGCAGTACTTTGTCCTCCATATCATCACGCGTTGCTGGGAAACTACATGTATTGATAAAGTTTACCCAAGACAAAAGATCTCTGATGCTCACCACAAACCTGGAAATTAAAGATTGATGTTGGTCCAAAGTTACCATTGTAAAGAACAGTTTCATTACATATTATGGGCTGGTTTCCACTGGTGGAGGCCACACAAGAGCAGTCAAAGGTAGAGTTAGAGTTGAAAAGAAGGACACAACAATAGTAGTAACATCACTTTCATTCATATAAATTCAAGATTGTGGAGGTATAATGGTTTCAATGTTGTTAAATTTCCACAGCCAATCCTTTTGATTCCGTTCACCTTGTTCGTGTTAGATAAAAAACGATGGAAGCAGAAGCACATTCAGAAAAGCTAGGGCTCTATTTGTGTTGCATGGCGTTTCCAAGACTTCTTCCCTAGCACTGTCCTGACATCCTTCAGTCATAAGTGTCTACATTATTGCTTGTTTTCAAATACAACAGAAGGCGGATTGGGGTACAAAGGATGGTTTCAGGTGATCTAAATGTGGAGTGGACTTACTTCTTTCCAAAGTCCTTGGAATGGAACCATTCTATAAAGTCCATCATGGCCTCTCCTATTCCAGATGTCCCTGTATGGAGATCATTGTTACAAAAACTTTTCTTGGTTTATCCTAAAACAAAACATTCAAAGAACACTTGCCCCATCCTGGAACACAGTCTCACACCAACCAATCACAATAGGCCATCTTCAATATTTCAATGTTCTAACCAGACTCTGAGACTAAGAAGATAAATTTCCATATTGCCAGAATACCACACATTCCTAATTCTGCCCTTTTTGCCCCCCTACCAAGTTAAGACAATTATGGATTAAACATTCCATGTTACATAACTCAGGCTCTAATTATTTTCGTTCACAGGTCCCTCAAATGTTACTGCGTAAACACCGTTATGATAAAGTGTCATGTTTTGAAGAGTAGAGTGATGACATTTTGTACCTTTGCAGGTTGACTGCAGTGTAATTCCAGGCTTGATGTTGTGATCTATAATCTTTATGAGGTCTTCCCTGACATTTGAAGGAGGGCACCAAATCTCTGTGAACCTGTTTCTCAAAGCAGGCGACAGCTGCAACAACGAAAGGAAAAATAAATTTATTGTTTCGTGATAGACAAATTCAGATGTTCAATACTTGCTTGTTTTGCTTACTCATTTTCTTTCACTCTAACCTCCACAAAAACAAACTTGAGCGTTGATCCCATAAACATTCTTAAAGGTTTCCTCAATTTAAATTTGAGAAGATGTGAATGCCAGTATTTGAATATACCCCAAACAATTTCTTTGATACATGTAGAGGACTATGATGTCCATGAAGATTTTAAAAATTAGACATTGTCCTTTGCTCACTTGACAATTCTTTGTTAGCAGTTGTACATGTAAACATAAGTGTAGCTCATTGTAAACACAGAACTACAGAAATACAATATCTTTCTCGAAATTGGTCGCACAGGTCATACCTCTTTCTTGCCAAAGTCTCCGCCAGGATTCATTGTTCCTATAATTTTGAAGTCTTTGTGTGCAATGAGCACATCAATATCTTCTCCTGCTGAATGTCCACCACCACCTTTCTCAGCAAGCAATAATGTTCTCTCAGGCTCCAGGACACTGTTCAGTCTCTCTAGTACCGAGTCATCAGCCAGAGAAATCTCATCTACTAAGAACATGGCGCCCCCTTTCATGGCTTGTACAAGTGGTCCATCACACCACTCAAATAGTTTGGAAACTTGTTCATTCTACATGAAAAGAAAGCCGAAAGAGTTTAGTGCACATGTAGCTTAAGCCTTAGCTGGTAGAAGTGCAATGGACCTAAAAGCAATATAAAAGGAAATGCTACACTAAAATTTGTCTCTATGTGGAGTAGTTCTCAAATATGTTCCACACACAGTTATTGTGGTTACCAAATGTTCAATACAGAAACTGTGCAATACCACTGAAGATAATTACTGTATTACTGACCACACAACCTTGGTGAACATTTTGTCTACAATCGAACCCTATTAAGCAGCCACCTATTAAACGGCCACCCCCATTAGGAGGCCAGTAATCGAAGTCCCGATGAGGGCTTGTCTATTGTTTTCACCTCTATTAAACAGCCAGCCCCCATTAAGCGGCCAATATCCATTTCCCTGAGGGTGGCCGTTTAAGAGCGGTTGAAATGTATTTGTAAAAATATTACCGCACATTAAACAAGGGGCAGTCACTGGTAAATCATAGACTTTGCACAATGGCTAGTCTAATATCTTTTCTGCAAACCTAAGACTTTATAAGTTATTGTACGAAAATCAAGACTCCAAGAAGGCAAAATCTCTGAAATTGGACCAAAGTTCAGAGATGCATATTTTTGGAAGGACAATTCACCACCCCTAACAGACACCCTTAAAATCATTTCATCACAGATTTATTTAGTAGTGTTGGCTTTTGGTTAGGGGATCAAGTGGTAACAATCTTATCAATATATAGATTTAGCCACGCCTAAAAGCGAAGCTCCCGGGCTGGGTTGTTCAAAGCCAAATTAAACTAACCCAGGATAAGCAAGAATTTTGATTTGAGTTTTGTAACTTTATGGTGAGGTTTTCTGTTTGTTGTTTGGCCTTCTGTTTTGAGTTTGAATGATCTCAAGGTCCTCAAAATACACAAAACAAAAGTAGTGAAAAACATTTGTATGCAAGAAAAAGTTATATTTTGGTTAACTTTTATAATCCTGGGTTAGTGTTAACTGGCTTGCGAACAACTCGGCCTTGTTTACAAGTTAACTTGACATGACCCTGCAATCCAATCGAAAACCAGCACTTGGTCAGCGGTCAACTTCAAAAACACACATGACCTTAATGAGTTCTACACTTAAGCCTCCGATATGGTCACGTGATACTGGTCAGCAGATACCTTGTTTTGACAGGTGTCGATTGACCATAAAATGGATGTTCAATATCAAAGAAGGACGCTATAAACCAAGGGTGCTTGTCTCTGTCAACCTATTAGCTGGAGTATGGCTGCCATCTTGCACAACTCCATCACCGTCGTTGTCATTGTCACATGCACACGCCCATGAGCAATAACGCAAGCCATGATGAAATCAATTCATGGGTTTCCTTTTCTTTCCTATATGGGCATTGGGTTTTGCTTAGCAGCCTTTGGGCCGCCGGAGCTCTGCTATGAATAATGTATGACACTGAAAAGGTCATACAGCCGAGTACTTGAACAAGCTGTATGAAAGGGTTTCAAGGTCTGAACTTAGGAAGTTCTTACAAAGCAAATGTGTCAACCCTGCTCCTGCCTAAGCTGACAGCAACCAAATTTTTGATTCACAAATACTGTCAAACTTTTTTTAGAGATCTTACCTGCTCCTCCTGGCCTCTGTTCCTCACAGGTCTCAGACCTCCAAGGAAATCAGCAGACTCAGAATGCATGTGACAGTTGACAGCAAACATCTTTTGATTCCACAGTGAAGCAAACAACTGACAAATGGTTGTCTTGCCACAACTGCAACAAAAACATTAACACACCAGCACAAGGTAAATATTATACTAAGGTAATTCTACCCTAAAATACAGCACCATAGTATCATTGCAATAGTATGTAAACATCAGACAAGGCTTCCTTGACTTCTGTGTTTTAAGCCTACAGGAGTGTTAAATTATCATTACTTTTTGCTTTCTTTTTAATACTGTATAAACTCTTGCCCCCACCTCGATTAGTTCTCGAACTAGTTGCAGGGGCAACCAGTTGTAACTATATGCAAGAAAACAAAATAAAGTTAAATTTCAAAGTTCAAGTTCAAAGTATGTCTTTGGGTCTTTGTCTTTTCAAAGTATGTCTTTGGGTCTTTGTCTTTGGGTCTACCCCAGTAGACCCATTCAAAACGCTCCTACATGATCTCTCCATCATACAAATGGCTGAGACCTACTGTACTGCTCCATCTCTATCTTAAGCTGTTAATTGTTTTAACATTTAACTATACATTACATTTTAATGTCCAATAAAACATCCATTGAAATATCTTAAAATTTAAACACAAAACTACTAAAGCAACATTGCAGTACCCTGTTTCTCCAACAAGTAAAACTGGTTCTCCAAATTGCAGTGCCCTCCCAGCCAGGACAGCAAGTCGCCGCATGCTCTGAGTCCAGACAATGTGCTTGAATCCCTCCAGTGAGGCTGAGGTGACTTCTGTCATGAGACTAGAAACGCCAGTGGAATGCCTTTCCACTGATGCATCACCAAACAAGATATCAGGGTCAAGTTTTCTTTTCATGTGGAGTTCAATCACTTCCTGGATGACTTTGCATTCTGAAGGATTTCGGCACCGGCCAGCAAGAAGCATGTAACCTGTAAAAAATAACAGAACTTGACACTCTTGTCTCTGCTTAAATATTGCTAGCTCTGAAAATATAGGTGTACATAAAAAATGATATTGTCTCATTCAGAGGTTTCTTTAATCTTATTGTAGTTTAGTGATATTCTTTTTTTATCAAAACAGTGACTTGTATTTACCATCCTCAGCAAGATGTTGATCCCAGTCATGAAAGCCACCACCTTCAACGTCAGGTGTCTTGCTGTACCTCTCTGCCCAGCGAAACAAATCACGGAGAGTAATAAATCCTTGCTTCCCAGCAAACACATTGCTGCTTCTACGGCGCGCCTGCAACGAAGGAAAACAATAAATAAATAAAATTAATAAAGTAAATATCTTGAATGACCACTCCCCCAATGAGGCTTTCCAGGGCCAATGAAACCAAATGATGAAACAAATTACGCAAATGAAAATAACATGGTTAAAAATCCCAACTGGTGGGAGGCAGACCAGTTGGCTACAGTAAAAACCTGAAAAAAAGGACAAGTGGATTAAGACCACTCAGGCTGAAATTTGGTCAAAAAAGTACCATGTACATAAGAACACATTCAGCCTGAAAGATGAAAATTGTTCTTACATAAAAAAAAATTGGCTGCCAGTTAGATTAGATTAACCTACTAGGGTACAGTACTAAGTAGAGCAATATATGTGCTATCCATTAATCAATTAAAATGTTGTGCTTGCACATTGATTTCATCTGTTGATAGTCTATGCAGTGTTTAATCTTTAAAAACAATTTTAAGAACACCTTAAGAACATTTTCAGGCTGATTTTGCAGAAAACACCCAATATATAGGAACAAAATCAGCCTGAAACCCCCAAACATGTGTTCTTTTATGCAGGTTTTTACTGTATTTACAAGCATGACTGAAGAGTTAAACTAGGGAACAACATAATTATGTCAGTCTTTGTGGATAGCCCACTATATAAACATGTAAAATATGGTAATCATGTCTTGCTTTGCAGTTAGCTAACACAATGTCAAACTTACCTGTAAGTCTAGCATGATGGAAACAAGTTTCTTGGCATATGAGGGTGGCAAACTACAACGTTTGTGAAGTATAATTTCCAGTTCCTTGCTGGGAAGCTCGTCAAAATGAAGTTCCACAAAGCGATTCCGAAAGGCTCGTGACAGCACCTGTGAAAATACATCACATTATCACATACCATTATTACATATTTAACAGAGTGAACAGCTGATGACCTTGTATTTCAAGGAGAAGGTGTACAAAGCAATGAGGCCTATAGGGAATCTTTGCTTACCATAATTATTTGCCTCAGTAGCAAAGGCAATCAAGAGGTGATCAGGCTACAAAATATCAGTTAAATGTTGAAAGGTCATACCATGATTTACTATGCCAAGGCATTTGAGCCAGATTATGAGCTCATTAGTGCCTTTGCTGTGCCGAAATTTTGATTTTTTTTGACAGGCAATATCTCCTTCAATATTACACCAAAAGAGCTACGCCTTTAAACCAGCACTAAGTTTCACAAGCTCTTTAACTGCTTGAAGTCAGTTCTTATTTAACATGATGCCTTCTCTATGCAAAGTCACTTGTTAACAAGGCAAAATGTAAACAATGACGTCAACAAAGATCGCCCTATTGCAAGACCTTTTATGCGGTCTAAAGAACTAATGAATATATTTAAACTCCTTTCATGTTTGTTCTGAGAAATTGGTAGTACATCAAGACAATATCCCCTAGATGCTGACTTTCGTAATTCTCATCACCTGTCTCTGTGACAATGTATCATTCTCATAAGGCGAAATCACATGCTGGCCACTGTTGGGAATCTGATTTCAATACAGGCCGACATAAAGTAAGCAAGCCCCAAACCTTTCTTCCACCATAATGTCCAGGTGGATTTTGTGTAGCAAACAACATGAACATTTGGTGGGCTACAACTGTCTCTTGTGTTTCAGGAATAAACAGCTCTCTGTTGTCATCCAACAACTAGAGAAATCAAGCAAGACTCAGAATTAAAACAATAACAAAACCAGTCACCTTGGCACGTGTAGATACTATAAATAATAACTGGGTGAAACTGTTAAAGATTTCAACCAACTTGAACCAAGGTCCAGTGACCTGCACCTCTTTAAAACTTCTATTTTGATTCGTTCTTGTTAATCTGCACCTCTTTTGTTTTGGGGGCTAGGGGCATTGTTTGTGTTGTAAACCTATTGTTTCATTTGGCCAATCATGAAGGCCCTTNGGGGGGGTGGCAGAAACGAATTTTGAAAAGGATAACAGTGCTTTTTCAAACTCCATTTTTAAAACACAGATAATTCATGCAATGACAAAAGTGTCCCAAGTAATTTTGTCCACCATTGTAGGTTACTCACAAAGGACAAATGAAGGCAACCGAACAAATAATTTTCTTTCTTATCTTTTCCTACCCTAAATTTACTTGTGATTCTCAATGCTTTGTATTTTTACTGAAAAGAAACAACTAACCATTGTGTATGTATTTCATGGATGGGTTATATTTAAAGGATACTTTCTGATACTGTAGTTCTCTCTCTAATGGCTATATAAACAATAGCCTCCATTTGGAGCGAAAATATGCTAGACATTACCTGTTCCTAGAAGCAAACAGTTTTCCGAGAGCATAGCTCGAGGAAAACTGTGAGCTTCGAGGAACAGATAATGTCCAAGGACAAATATCCGAGCATATTTTCACACCAAATGNAAAAAATTAGCTGTCACGTGACGTGTTTAGACCAATCACATGCAAGCGAAAATATTTGATGGAATGTAATTGTACAGTAGATACCCTCCTATGGTCTCTGACATAATATGAAGAGAGTCCTCTAGAGTCAATGCAAAGCCCCTTTTCACACTTTATCAGGGTTCTAATTACTAATAAACAGGAGACAATTGAGTTCACTACTGTGTTTGAATAGACTTTTTGTGTTACATAATCCTTTTGTGTCAGATTTGTAATCGTACATGTTTCGCATACATTACATCAGAACTTAGCTTTTTATGTTTGTTTTAATTCTAATCCTCAGCTTGTATGTTAGAGATCGTATTGTTTTTCTTTTTGGACATTTTTGAATATCAAGAACACTTGGACTATCGTAGATTCGTAGTCAGGGCATTGTTTTTAAAGTTTAGCTCGAGGAATCCTGTATAACTGAATATATGTTAATCTGGTAAACAACTAGAGGCTGCCTAAACCCAGAGTGTAGTTCTGTTGCCACAAGATCCATAAGAAGCTACATATTTGCGCAGTAAATATCTATGTAACAAACAATTATTGGGTTACCCTCCTCCAGTGTCACCCATCACACTTAAGAGATTTAAAAACGCCCTGATACTCAGCTATAACTCAGATATTCTGGCAGAATCTAAACTCACCTTGCAGACACAACTCTGCCAAGATCCTTCAAGTTAGCCTTCACTGAAGCTGTTAACACATACTCTGTTGACACAACCGGTTCTTTGCTGCCCATTGCAATCCAGAAACCTTCAAAATTACAGAACTGTCCAGAGTGTTGTGGCATGGGTAGGGGCTGCTTCAACATGCTGGCACCATTCACATGCCCCAGGAGGTGTTGTTTAATGAGGGACTGTACAGCAGGGTGAGATGAGCGGTCCAACTGCGTCAGAAAACTCAAACAAAAACCCTGCAAAGAAACATGAAAATGGGGAGGGTGGACTTAAAACAAAACAACTATTTAGTTGGAGAAATTGATCCTGCAGACTGATAACATAAATTCTGCACTCAGGCTTGGCTCATTACATGTACCAGCCACTGTTTAGGAAAAGAGCCTGGGCTCCTCCCCAAACAAAGCAGCAGAAATTGATCAGGAGTCCAATGCCTTAACTGTTTAGCTGGTAACCTTCTGGCCTGCAGTTGATTGACTACATTTACAATGCTCAGAGCCAAACTAATTCATTTACAAAATATTTATACTGTATGCTAATTAAACCCAGAGTTAACTGTGCCAAAGATCATGTTTTCCATCTTCAATATTATGATCAGAATAGCTCATAACCAGGAATGTGAGCAGACATAACATGCATCATAAAACACACCTCATAGATAGACCTCAAAGCATTCTGATGAGGGTTTGCTGCTGCATATTTTAAAGCTCGGCATAAAGTCCGCAAACTAGGGAAGGACAAGGATAAGGATAATTTATTTAATGTCATCTACACAGGGCCGGGGCTAGTTACCCAGTCCCCCGACCCAGAGGCCCAAGATTAAAGTATTTGACAAGCTATAAAGTACTACACATATCTATATAATTAATTTGGTCAAGTCTAAAAATTGTTGATAAATAAGTATGGTCACTGAAATTGTAAACTTACGGATTACATCAAACACAATTCCTGCATTAGCAGTTGGTAAAATTGAGATTTGAGAAGGAAGAAATAATCACGATTCAGTTCCAGCTGTTAATACATTTGATTTAACAGCATATTAAATGATATATTTTCCAGAAGGATATAAGGAAGCTGCCAATGTCAAAATGGTCAGGGCACTGAACCCTGGATCAAGGTATCAGTGGGTTTGATCTCTGCCTTGTCTCACTTAGTCATGTTCACTGGCAACATACATGTGCCTTACTTTCAGAGGAAAGCATTTTTACCCAAGAGTAATCAATCAAGGCAAATTTTAACCTTTAATGTAAAATGTGACAACTTTTGTAGCCAAATTGTAACAGCCAGAACGTCGCAAGCTTAGGTGATTATTGATAAGTTTAAGTCACACTACAATCCTTGACGCAGGGTTGACCACCTAGGTCATGAGAACTTGCCTTCGATAGTCTAAACAGTGATGTTAAATGATGCCAATATATTTGGAGTCTACAAATGTTCAACAAGGGAGATATAACCAATTCTCTTATTGTTTTGTACTACATGACACATGTACAGCTGTATGCTGCAATATAATGGGATAACCTTTTGGTTCAACAATAAATAGAATTTTGATCTGCTTGTTTGACTGCAAGGCCACATAATTTGACTGAGTGGGAGTGCTCAGTTTGAGACAAGGGCTACTGTGTTCAAGCTTCTTTGTACATATTTCACAATCAGGGTTGTTATATATTACTCTGCTGCCATCTGCTTTAAAGAGGTTGTTACATTTGCTGTTCAAGATTGCATATTCTGCATTGAAGAATTGTTGCATTTTGTCACAAAATGTACCAATTCTCTTGTGTTCGTGTTACATTTTGCATCCATTCTTAAATTTTGCAGCATAACAGATATGAAACCCAAATCAACTGCTCAAGACAAAACACAGCTAAAAGCTGTTTGGATTTTGTCACCTGTAATGAGGTTTGTGTCCTGTGCCATCAGTCAGCTTATCATTCGTTTCATGTTTGACTGTGAGGTAAAACCTGGTAAGAAAACAAAGGAGTGAACAGTTTTAAAATGTTCACAATGGATGCATTTCTTTGGCATAATCCAGATCAAGATCCATGATCCAAGACAACACTGATCACGGTGCATTAAAGGAGCTGATGAATCTAATCTCAACACAGATTCACCGGCTCGTTTGATGAACCACATTCTGAGTGATCTTGGATCACTGATCCTGATCTGGATCATCCCAAAGGAATGCATCCTATATGAAATCTAGCCCCTTGTCCCATCTTTCTTTATGTTTTAAAAAAGCCACCAATTCATCCAAAACCAAAACATTGCAAACCTGACAATGCCATCCACAATAGAGGCATTAGGTGACAATCCTTGAAGGTAATCCACCACCAGGGTTTTCAGATCTGCAGTACTCTCTAACTCACTGACAAAGATTTCTGTGAACCTTGAAACGTCGAACATAAATGAAATTAGACATCACACTGTACTTGATAAATAAACTAAGTCAATCAACAAGACTCAGGCAACACAATAAACACAGACCTGTTTCGAACTCCAGGTGGTAGGTCTTTTTTTCCCACATCAGTAGCTGGATTCATGCAGGCAAACAGACGAAAATCTTCATGCCTTAGAGTAGGTGTGACATCGCTAGATAACACAAAACATCAACTAATCATTTTGCAAAATCATTAATTAATTAATTAATTAATTAATTATCAGATTAGCACCCTGTTAGAAGGGGCAGTTAGTTGATTGGATTCATCAGTCTGTTAGATAGACCAGTTGGTTGATCAGATGAACCCTGCTAATTGGATCTCAGTTCTTTTGTAATCCTCATTATTTCAAACTCAAAACAATTTCCCTTGGATTTGCTTTTTAGTCACTTATAATATGCTATTTTGAACCCCTGCTATCTCACACCATTCTTTCCTTTCCCCTGAAAGTTTAAAATAGTGGGGTTCAATATCATAGTTCATTAGACTGANGCTTTTTAGTCACTTATAATATGCTATTTTGAACCCCTGCTATCTCACACCATTCTTTCCTTTCCCCTGAAAGTTTAAAATAGTGGGGTTCAATATCATAGTTCATTAGACTGATCACTCTGTTGCACAGATCAGTTGAATGGTTGGAAAGATGAGTCTGTTAGATGTATTTTTGCTGATTGGATTGAACAGTCTGCTGTTAGATGGATATGACCACTTTGCTATTGGGATTGATCAGTCTGTTAGATGGACCAGTGGGTTGATAGGATTGATCAGTCTGTTAGATGGACCAGTGGATTGATTGGTTTATCAGTCTGTTAGATGGACCAGTGGGTTGATTGGATTGATCAGCCAGTTAGATGGACCAGTGAGTTGATTGGGTTGATCAATCTGTTAGATGGACCAGTGGATTGATTAGGTCGATCAGTCTGTTTGATGGACCAGTGAGTTGATTGAATTGATCAGTCTGTTAGATGGATCTGTGGGTTGGTTGGGTTGATCAGTCTGTTAGACGGACCAGTGAGTTGATTGGGTTTGATTAGTCTGTTAGATGGACCAGTGGGTTGATTGGATTGATCAGCCAGTTAGATGGACCAGTGGATTGATTGGTTTATCAGTCTGTTAGATGGACCAGTGGGTTGATTGGATTGATCAGCCAGTTAGATGGACCAGTGAGTTGATTGGGTTGATCAATCTGTTAGATGGACCAGTGGATTGATTAGGTCGATCAGTCTGTTTGATGGACCAGTGAGTTGATTGAATTGATCAGTCTGTTAGATGGATCTGTGGGTTGGTTGGGTTGATCAGTCTGTTAGACGGACCAGTGAGTTGATTGGGTTTGATTAGTCTGTTAGATGGACCAGTGGGTTGATTGGATTGATCAGCCAGTTAGATGGACCAGTGGATTGATTGGTTTATCAGTCTGTTAGATGGACCAGTGGGTTGATTGGATTGATCAGCCAGTTAGATGGACCAGTGAGTTGATTGGGTTGATCAATCTGTTAGATGGACCAGTGGATTGATTGGTTTATCAGTCTGTTAGATGGAACAGTGGCTTGATTGGATTGATCAGTCTGTGAGATGGACCAGTGGGTTGATCGAATTGGTCAGTCTGTTACATGGACCAGTGGGTCGATTGCAATGATCAGCCTGTTAGATGGACCAGTGGGTTGACTGGATTGGTCAGTCAAATATATGGATCAGTTAGTTNGTTAGATGGACCAGTGGATTGATTGGTTTATCAGTCTGTTAGATGGACCAGTGGGTTGATTGGATTGATCAGCCAGTTAGATGGACCAGTGAGTTGATTGGGTTGATCAATCTGTTAGATGGACCAGTGGATTGATTGGTTTATCAGTCTGTTAGATGGAACAGTGGCTTGATTGGATTGATCAGTCTGTGAGATGGACCAGTGGGTTGATCGAATTGGTCAGTCTGTTACATGGACCAGTGGGTCGATTGCAATGATCAGCCTGTTAGATGGACCAGTGGGTTGACTGGATTGGTCAGTCAAATATATGGATCAGTTAGTTGGCTAAATTGATCGATCTGTTCCGTAAAACACTAGGTTGATTGGATTGGTCAATCTGTAAGGTGGATCAGTTGGTTGATTGGATTGATCAGGCTGTTAGATGGATCAGCAGGTTCATTGGATTGGTCAGCTAATTATATGGATCAGTTGGTTGGCTGAATTGATCAATCTGTTAGGTGAATCACTTGGCTGGATTTATGAGTTTGTTAGATGGATCAGTTGGTTGGTTGATTGGAGTGATCAGTCTGTTAGATGGATCAGCTGGTTGGCTTGATTTATCAGTCTGTTAGGTGAATCACTAGGTTAATTGGATTGATCAGTCTGTAAGATGCATCAGTTCATTGATTGGGTTGATAAGTGTGTTAGATGCATCAATTGGTTGGCTGGATTGGTTAGTCTGCAGGGGTAGATTTAGAGGGAGGGGAAGGTTGGCTAGTGACCCTCCTTTTGGAGAAGGAAAAAAAAATAACAAATTGGAAAAAGAATTTGAATGTCTTGACAGAAATAAAGGCAAACACTCTGAATTGGTACCTCATTGTAACTTCTACCTTGTAACATTACCAATATTTTTGCTAAAAACATTTTCAATTAGGTTCCAATTCTCAGATTACAACATTTTGTGAACATGCTGCATTGATTCTGGAACCCTAAGGAACCAGCTACCCCCACTCTAGAAATCCTGGATCTGCTCCTGGTCTGTACGATGGATCAGTGGATTGGTTGGGTTGATAAGTCTGTTAGGTGAATGACTTGGCAGTTTCGATTGATCAGTCTGTTAGATGGATCAGTTGGGTCATTACCTTGATCAGTTTGCTCGATGGATCAGTTGCTTGACTAGATTGATCAGTATGTTAGAATGACCAGTTGTTTGATTAATTTGATTGATCAGTCCATCAAATCGATTAGTTGGTGGACTGGATTATCCAGCTTGTTAAGTAACTTTAGTAGGCTAATCAGATTGCGCAGTCTCCTAAATAAGTCAGTGGTGATTTACATTGTAACTTACCCTCTTTCCATGAGAACCACTGAGCCAGATGAACTCTCTAGCAAACCACACAGACACTCCAATGTCTCGGGTGTGGCCAAATTAATTTCATCCAGTAACACCCAGTCACCTTTTTGCACAGCTTGTACCAGGGTGCCTTCAACAAATCGGAATGCCAATGTGCTTTCTGCATTTTTCTGCTGCTTTTGCAGTTGCTGAATGTCTTGGCTTACACTTTGCCATTCCAAGAGAAGATGACTCGTTTGATGATCTGTAATTTTTTGAGGATGCAGAATTAAGATGCATGTAAGCGTAGTAGATGCACACTGATATATGCTCCTAAGGAGACCACTGTTTGGCATGTGTTTCTTGGCCTCGGGTCAAGACAAGCTCTTTGCTTCAAGTTCTCTAGTGTACTAGAAGACTGCTTAGGTCCACTTATTGGCAGCACCCAGTTGATTAAGAAATTATTTAAATTCCAAAACATTATGAATCAAAGCTTACCTTTCTTCACCCTTTCCACAGCATTCCTTTGGCAATGCATCATTAGCTTGAACAGCATTTCCCACTGTCCTTGGGCAAAACACTTCTGTACATGACTCAAGAACTTCACATTTTGCTTTCTTGAAAATGTCTTACAAAAAAGCACCTCAAACTTTTCCCTCACAGGAGCGACAATCTGTTTCATCTCTACAGGTTTGTAACCACCAAGTAGATCTGAACTGTCACTCTGTTGACTCATATTGACAACCTTCAAACTGACTGAGCACTGTGCCGCCAGGTATTGGACTGTTGATGTTTTGCCTGTTCCTGTTTCTCCAACAAGAAAAACAGGTTCATTGTTTCTGATGCAAGCAGCAACTTTTTCAAGTAACACTAAGGAATGTCTAGTATGTGCATATTTTGGGAGGTTTCTTTCACTTAAGTGCACTGGCACATTATCATAATGCTTTCTTTTCAAAGTGATTCTACCAACTGTCAAGGACAATGGTGAGGTATGGACTTTTGGTTTGTAGCTTCTGAAGAAGAATTCAATCTTCTCTTTTGTCAAGCCTAGTTTGGCACCCACTGCCATGTCTAAAAAATTCCTTTCTTCTGTTTTTGCTAAAGGAGCACTGAAACAGTCTTGAGCTTCAAGAAAAACATCTTTGGAGTCAAGCAGAGTGGGTGCACCACAAGCAGTTACAGCTACCCTGCTGCACCACTTCATGAAATCTCTTGTCGAGCTCAGCCGCTTATCGTGAGGAAGGGAACAGTTTGTTATATCTTGACTGGAAACAAGTTGCGGATCTGTTGATAAGAGGCAGTAAATATCCACCAACTTTGTTGCCACTGCTTCCAGGTCTGCATATTTTTGATGTACAAGCTGAAATAATGGGAATAAAATCATGTGATCAGAAACATTGGTTGCTTTCCAAATATGTGGTTTCCAATACTTCTTACATCTGAGTGAAAATTTTTTTTTGACTGATTGACTGACCAACCAAGACAACCAACCAACCAACCGATTGATTGAGTTTTTACTCATTTATTTCAATCACAAAACAACAAATCATTTTATTTTTCGGTGGGTGAAAAATATGAACAAGGGCAACAATCACTGACAGCAAATACATATTAACTTTTAATGTTACTCACATGAACCAGTTCTTCCTTGGAAAGTGGCTCAATTTGAACTCTTGTCCACAGTTTGTCCAGGATAGCAGAATTAGCACCAGTAGCTTGATAGCTTGATCCACCCAGACTACTGTACAATCTAAATGACAAGAACACTAACTTACACTTTTAAAAAAGAATTAAAGGAAATACAAGTTGGTCTACAGCTTTTAAGTATGTAGTGTCCCAAAGAATAACAATAGCCAAGTGGCTCACCAGTGCTGAAGCTTAATAATCATAGTTCAATCTGCAGCAATAAAAATAAATTTCATTCTATAATGTGCTAAAACATGCATTACCCTCCTCCTCCTCCCCCTCTTGTCGAGATGTTCGTCCATTGAAGCCCCTCAGCATTTTTGTCATCCTCATCAAATTGCCAGCACTTATTTAAACTCAGAAAGAGGGTACTTGCTTAATACAGTGACATCACAGGCAGAGTTCATAACACAGCCCTTCAGTTTAGAGTCCAATTCATTCCCATCCACTTTGTCAGTCCTAGAATGCAGGTGATCTACTCCAATTCTAATGTTATGTAACATTAAGGGAAGCCCTTAGAATGGTTTTTATATATAGAACGTTAACTGGATGAACATAATTTAACCTCGTGGTTATAAATTTTAATGTGTAACTGACCTCGATTTTCAAGCCAAAGTGACTTACCAGGCTGGCAGCTACGTGCAGCTCTGCTTTCGATAGCATTAAGTGACTATAAGTATTTCTAATACCCCCTGGACAATGGGGGAGGTTAGTTGGCTTAATGATTAGCATGCTAAACCCCAGATCAGGCACAGGTGTTAAAATGTATAAAAGAGTGCATGCTAGAAAATTTAGAGCTAGGGGTAACTCCCTGTGATTGCCCATTTATATGCCTGGGTGAAAAGAGACACTCTGAGAGTAATGATGGAAATACAGTGGGACTAACTAGGGCCAGCGAGACAGTCTTCTCTATCTTCAGCAGAAGTCTGCCTTATCACAGTATTTGTTTTGAAAGAGTTGACCCTAACATCATTGTGAATGTACCTCTGTGTAGCAAACAGCTGAAATCCTGGTGATGCCTTCACTGCATTTCCATGTGCAGGCACAGAAAGCATTTGTGATTCAAGCAATGGAATCAGCACAGAGGTAACATCCATGGGGGCCAAGTCAATATCTTCCAGGAGAATCCAGTGCCCTCCTCGAACTGCTTGCAACAGAGGTCCAGGCTGCCAAGCAAACTCACCTGGGGTGTCTGTGCACACATATGTTCCTAGCAAGGACTTGAAGGCAAAGAAATTGTTATTTTATTTTGTTTATTTTTGTGCATTTTTAAGTTTATTTGCTACTTATATTCGTTACCCTCATGACTTTGAGTGTCTATTTATTTACACANCTCCTCCCCCTCTTGTCGAGATGTTCGTCCATTGAAGCCCCTCAGCATTTTTGTCATCCTCATCAAATTGACAGCACTTATTTATACTCAGAAAGAGGTGTAATTGCTTAATACAATGACATCACAGGCAGAGTTCATAACACAGCCCTTCAGTTTAGAGTCCAATGCATTCCCATCCACTTTGTCAGTCCTAAAATGCAGGTGATCTACTCCAATTCTAATGCTATGTAGAATGGTTTTAATATATATATAAGGTTAACTGGATCAACATAATTTAACCTCGTGGTTATAAATTTTAGTGTGTAACTGACCTCGATCTTCAAGCCAAAGCGGCTTACCAGGCTGGCAGCCACATGCAACTCTGCTTTCAATAGCATTAAGTGACTATAAGTATTTCTAATACCCCCTGGACAATGGGTGAGGTTAGCTGGCACATGCTAGAAAATTTAGTGCTAGGAGTAACTCTCTGTGATTGCCCATTTATATGCGTGGGTGAAAAGAGACACTCTGAGAGTAATGATGGAAAAACAGTGGGACTAACTAGAGCCAGCAAGACAGTCTTCTCTATGTTCAGCAGAAGTCTGCCTTACCACAGTATTTGTTTTGAAAGAGTTGACCCTAACATCATTGTGAATGTACCTCTGTGTAGCAAACAGCTGAAATCCTGGTGATGCCTTCACTGCATTTCCATGTGCAGGCACAGAAAGCATTTGTGATTCAAGCAATGGAATCAGCACAGAGGTAACATCCATGGGGGCCAAGTCAATATCTTCCAGGAGAATCCAGTGCCCTCCTCGAACTGCTTGCAACAGAGGTCCAGGCTGCCAAGCAAACTCACCTGGGGTGTCTGTGCACACATATGTTCCTAGCAAGGACTTGAAGGCAAAGAAATTGTTATTTTATTTTGTTTATTTTTGTGCATTTTTAAGTTTATTTGCTACTTATATTCGTTACCCTCATGACTTTGAGTGTCTATTTATTTACACAAATCAAATAGGAAAATTTCTTTCACATATCAGTTGTGACACAAATCCAAGCACTCCCATTTACATGATTAAATATACTAATAAAATTAATATTGTTCAATTTCATTTGCATTTATGTTACAACTTTTTTACATGATTAGTTATTTACTTGCTTGTTTGTTTGATTGTTTGTTTCGTTTGGTTGGTTTGTCAGTCTATTGAGTTAATTAAAATCAAACCTGTGTAAAATGGAGGTCTACCGTTCTGACTATTAAAACTGGCAGCCTTTATTAAGAGATATTAACACAGTAGGTAAGGTTGTATTAGTAATTTGTTCTTAGAAGTGAAAGTATTGTTTGTTCGCAGTATCATATTGTAAGCAGTTTCATATTGTTTAAGGTGGCCGAACACAGTTTTCGCACGTGCTTTTGCTGATGCAATTCAGCGCACGCACAAGGATTACAAAAAACAAACATGCCGTCAATAGAGCGATCTGTTTATTTACTCAACACTGGCAGTATCTGTGCTATTTTTCTCTATAATTGAACGCAGTGTATTGATGGCTTTAGTCTTTAATCACAAAGATATGTTAGAAAAGGTAACAATGCAAAGAACCCAGCAATTCTCATCTTTTTCTTTGTTACCAAAAGAACCCAGTTAAATGCAGTGCATGCGTAGTAAGTTAAAAAAATTGTGACTGAATGAAAATTTGCACTCTTGGAAATACGCCTATTTCTCGAGAACCACTCATTAGAATTTCATGAAATTTGGCAGGAAAATACTTTTGGAAATAAGTAACTGGAGTATTGAAAATAACTGAACTTTAACAGAGGAAATTCTAGATATTCCAGTGAACCTTCAACAAGGGATAATTAAAGATCGTTCTGTTAAATTAATAGCAAAATGGTGTTAACTTGTGAGAATGCTTGTTGCATGGAAATCATAAAGAAAATCTAATGACTAGATTTTCTACAAATAAACAAAACCAATTTAAAGGTCGGTTAATTTTTATTCATGTTGCCATGGCAATGGAACACATGTCAGCTTAACCATCAAAAAACCAAAGTTTCTGTTGTTAACTTGCTTGCTGCCATTTTTGGTGACCGAGAGATCAAGGGTTTTAGAGAAAAAGGTGAATGAAACACAGGTATCAAAAACTGTGTTCAGCCACCTTAAAGTCATTTTAGTACCATATTATTAATGTATAAATATTATACATATGTGTCATGTTTGTAACTATATTGTTTTGTGAGCAGAATGTTTTCATAAATTATATAATTTTTATACATATAAAACAAAAAGAGTACACAAAATGTAGGTAAGGTCCTAAAAATGAATATCGGAAGCACAAGCACAGGAATCCACCATCAGAACACTTTGATCCCTTGCACTTGGAATTCTAAGAGTTGGTTAGGACTCTGATGCTCAAGCTTGTATTGTTAGCAAAAAACCAAAAACAAAAAAAGACATCACCTTGCTGTCAGTTTGATCTCCCAGTTGAACCTTGATAAAGTCAGGTGGACTTGTTCTCCCTGTTGCCCTGGCTAGATACTCAACTAGACTTGTTTTCCCAGAGCCAATAGGTCCCTCAAGCAGTACTCCATGGCCTGATGCCACTGATAGTACAAGTGAATGAAGATTGCTTACCATCGATGGTACCATAACAAGAGATTTGTCCACAAGACCTGGAGTTCCAGGTAGCATTGGTAACAAAACACCACAAATGGTTGCATATTCGCCAATTAAATCTTTGTCACTAATACATGACTCATTAGTGCTGCTGGTGTCTACATCCATAGAATCAGAAGCCATAGGGCAGAGTTCATCCCTAATCACACATTCTTCTCTTAAACTCCACGACTCTCCAGTTAAGCATTTGCGAATTGCAAGTGAATTTTTTTCTTCAATGCTAAGGAGTTTATCCAGCAGACTGTGCTTCACTTGGTCTGACATCTCTGTTAAAATTGCCACAATATGAAGAGCATACCATCTCACTTCAGGATGTCTGTGTAGCAGAAGTTTAAAAATAAAACTCCAGTCCCATACTCTGTAAAATGTTTCAAAATCATAAAACAGTAAATTGTAGCCAGTTTTCAAAACACACAAAATCCTTTCATTTGATTGTTCATTATTCTGCTCCTCTTGTGAAAAAATCCTGAACAAACAAGAAGCCTTCATAAATCTGTAGATAAAACTTTTCAAGTGAGAGAGAGGCAACAGACAACTGAGAATGTAACAGAATCCTTCATTCTCCAGACTGGATCTATGGTGCAGGATTTGAGATCCACGTTCGAGAATTTCAAGTAGTATTGGTCTGCAGTATTTAACTAGATAAGGAACCAAATCCTGAATCAAGAAAACCTCCGCCAACTTCTGCAGTAGATTTTGCTTCTCCTGAAAAGACCAGCTCTGAAAAACAAGAAAAAAATCTACATTAAATTCATTATAAATGGCAACATTCAAGTTAGACAAATATACCAAGGTTGGCTGAATCGTTCTCCGTACACAAAATATAAGCTTAACACTGAAAAGCTGAACATTTGAAGTTTGCTTTGTACAAACCTTCACTTCTGAAAATTGTGCAAGTTCATTCCTCAAGCGATCGTCACAATCACACAGACATTTTAAAGCGCCCAAGAAGTCAAAGCGAAAATCCTTCGTATAGTTCATTTCTCTAAATAAATTAAGCAGGCAGAAGTGTACAAAACAGAACGTAATTCGGAATGAAAACCATGTTTTCAAATAAAAACAAATCTTGTTGAAATTTGCACGTGCGGGGAGCTGAGCCTACATTGTAGAAAAGTACCGATACAGCGTTCTTCTCCATTAGTGCCAGACCCATTCGTGTTTCGACCCCAGTCCCTTTAGTTTATAGCGTTTCCAAGACAACCAATCTTCTCACCGAGCGCCATATTTTAGCAACACTCTTCACAGTTGTTACGATGGGGCAAGATTATTACGCTGTTTTAGGCCTTACAAGAAGAGCCAATGATGCAGACATCAAAAAGTCGTATGTTGAGTCGTTAAAGCATCTTGACGATGCTTCTTTTTTCATCAAAAGGCTTACAATTTGTCTAAACTTTGGTCCGTAGCTATCGCAAGTTGTCGCTGAAGTTGCACCCTGACAAGAACCAAGAGCCAGGAGCGGATCTGAAGTTTAAGCAAGTCGCGGAGGCCTATGATGTATTGAGCGATCGTGAGTATGACTAGAAGATACTAATGTAAATTGACTCGGTGTGGAATATAGAAACAACAACAACAAATATACGACATACTTGTAAACTATTTCACTGCTACATGCACCTGTACAATCTCACTAATGGTACTTAGAATATCCTCCAAACTGACATTGTAAAACGTGCTTCAGTCCCGATTTGGGATCACTTAAAGAAATAAAAGAAGGTCTTAAACGCTACTCTACTGTATAGATCTGTATAAGCTTAACACATCTGTCTTTGAATATAAACTTAATGACTATACATAAAAAAGCTTGAGCTTAAAGTTATACAATCTAAGTTTACGTAATGAGCTTTACTTCATATATATATATATATTCAAATCAGTCTTGTAAACGTACAATTCTTATTTCTTCAGCCAAGAAGAGAGCCATTTACGATCAATTTGGAGAAGAAGGTCTGAAAGGAGGAGTTCCTGAAAAAGGTAGTTCATTCAATGAACATAATTTTTACAGAATATCAATTGAGTGTTATTGGCATTGCAAACTGAATAAGGTTTTAAAGTAGGAGTTACTAGCTGGGTAAGGTACATTTCCTTGCCATTCAGTACATTTTATGAGAGTGCTGTTGGAATTACCCAAGTAATCGTACAGCAAGGAAGGGGAAGTGTAAAATAAACTTGGCTAAGAGCATATAGCATGATGATGGTCAGGTTTAAACTTGCCGATCATTGGGTTATGACACATTCTCTTGCATTGGCTGATCCCACTTTGAAAGACTCCCAGGGAACGTACTTAGTTGCATTTCTGACTGGGAGGTGTGAAATTAATCAAGTACTGTGTAAGGAACATGCTATCCACTGGATAGCTATGTATCCAGTGGATAGCATTATCCAGCCTTCAAACAACCGTTGCCTGAAGATTAACATGGTTTGGCCACATCTGTGGTATGAGTCATCAAAGGCTTCCTAAAGTTTTGCTGGAATGGAAACCTGAGAATGTATATATGAAGCAGCAGAGGGGAGGGTGCTTCAAGATCTGGAGTCGGTGGCAGCAGACGGAGTCCAACTAGCACTATTGATATCCTAACACCATGTTGTTTGATGAAGATAATGACAAATTATGATGATGACAATGATGACATAAGAAGACACAGTGGGGTCTATCTGGAAGTACTTCAAAGGAATGCACATTCCTTTAATATTTGAATATCAATCTGTCAAAGAATCAAATTGCCTATGAAGCAATAGGCATTAAAAATTCCCAGGAATTGTCTAAAAGAGTTTTGTCTCTGTTGACAGAAATTTAGTCACCTAGTGAACCACAGCTTAATTAATTCGGAAATCGGGTACTTCCAGTCCAGACCCACTTGTGTCTTGTCATGACAATGATGATGGTTAAAAATTATGAGTCCAGAGAAAATTGTTGGACCTTGAAAGAGTCCTTTACATGGTGTTAAAACCAGATCCAAGAAAGTTCAGTGGCTCAGAAGGAAATTGACAAAGGGCTTCACACCTTCCCATCACTATCATACTTGGATACCCTCTCCCCCCCCCGGAGTATTTAAGAGGTGGCTCTCCATTCCCTGAGCCAGTAAAGCCCCCAAACTTACGACTTACACTGTACGCCTGATAAAAAAAATCAAACATCCAACAGTGTTTTGCACCTTCAAAATGTCATGGTGACAGCTCTGTTTTGATAAAGAATTGACAAAATCTTGTATCTTTTTTTCATCATAGATGGATGGACACCAGGATACACATTTCATGGAGATGCAGGAAGGGTGTTCAAAGAATTTTTTGGGGGAGATAATCCATTTGCTGGTAAATAGACCTAACAAAAAGCAAAAATTTCAAGTAAATCTACAGACTGTGTGACACAATATGGTACTGTTAGGTGTACATGTAGATCCAGGGTAAGGGTCCTGGAGAGAGACAATGTCAAAGGTGCTGAAAAAAATTCCTATAAGGCACTTTTTCAAACCAGGTCCCGCCATTCAACTTTTTGGTAGCCATTAGAATGTCACGACCTATGTTGTACCAGCAGAAGTTGGTTAAATCCAGGAGATCCCCAGCTGCAGTGGGCAACTTGACATGTCTGCCTGCTGGATGAATATTTATTAGGGAGCTAAATAAAAGTTCAGGCCCAGGTTTTTGTTTTTTCTAAGGGTGGACGACCTCATCCATTCAATAATGTCAAAGGATTTTCGACCTTATCCATTCAATAATGTCAATGTTCAATGGAAAAGTGTTAACAAAATCATCCAAGTTATCTTCTGGTTAGTGATTTGGAATTCAGTGGTGAGCAGTATCCACTTTTTAACAACCAGAGGACAATAAAAGAAATTGATTACTTAGAAGACCATGAATGCTAAATATTTATTATAATGATTTCTTATTTCTGTTTTAGAATTGTTTGATTCGTATGATCCAGAGGTTGGGTTTGGTGGAATTCATGGCCGTGGTCGTCGTAAACAGGATCCACCCATAGAGAGAGAACTGTACCTTACACTAGAAGAAGTATTTAAAGGATGTGTTAAGAAGATGAAAATTTCAAGGAGGGTAAGAACTAAAGATCAAAATTAAAATATATATATATATATATATATATATATATATATATA